TTGCCATCGCTGTGGGCACTCTCGTAGTTGCAGGGCCCCACTTGGGCCAGTCCTTCCAATGCCAGCTAGGTTCAGAGTGTATTGTCTCGGGCTTACAAGGAGCGCGCCTCTTTCCAGATGACCGGCTTGTGGCCATGAGGCTTTGTGGTACATTGCAACAGGCTGCTGCCTTTGAGCACCTTCCTCCTGTGTTGGCAGTGTACAACCAAACAGCAGACGAGCTGCTTTTTGATTTCGGGTACGTTGATCTCGAGGACACCGCCCCAGAAATGGTACAACTGTGCTGGTGTGCTGCAGATGACAACTGCGAGTCGGTTGAGGCCTTTCGAGCCCCGGCAATGCAGCTGCACCTGGTGTGCCCACCGATGGTATGAGCTTAGTGGCAACATGAGGCGATGCCAGCCATGTCCACCAGGATCCTATTGCCCCGGTGGCCAAGCTGCGGAGAGCAAGCCAGGCATGTTTGCAAGCACCTCGCCAGCCATGGCACCCGATTCTGATTTTTGCGAATGCCGCCGAGGTTATTTCTGGGATGTGCAGGTTGGCGCCTGCTCAGAATGCCCGGCCGGGTATTTCAAAGCCAGCGTTGGCAACGCATTGTGCCAAGTCTGCCCACCAAACAGCACCTCCACTCCAGGGGCCATCGCAGAGCGAGAATGTTTTTGTAAGGATGGCATGATCGATGTGGATCCGTCCCCAAGCATCACTTGCGCCGAAGCTGCAACGTTGGCAGAAAATTCTACAGTCAGCGACCTTTTTTTTGCTGCAACGGCTGCCTTCTCGTTTCAATTCAGTGGGTCGATTCTTGCGGCTGGGGCAAGCCCTCCGCTGTCGGAGGTGCAGACAGCTGTTGAGGGCTACCTGAGCTTCAGCTCCAGATCAGTTTTGAAGCTTGAGTTGCAGGATGGCAACGAAATCAGGTACCTCTTCGCAAGCTCTGAGAAAGAGGAAGCAGATCGAATGCATGCTCTTTTTCATAAGATGGCTTTTGCTGCCTGGGCCCTGGCTGAGATGAGCAGTACATCCATGGCTTCGCTTGAGGTCGCATCCAGGAGCCCCGTTCAAGTTCAGGAATTGCAGTGCCAGCACGGACAGGCCTTCGCAGAGGGCGCCCGAATAACGACTGATGCAGACTGCCAATGTGCCCATGGACTGGAGCCAACTTCGCTTGCCTCAACAAGCACTTGCGAACCGTGCCCAGTAGGTCGCTACAAGGCAGTGGTTGGCAATGTTGCTTGCTCCAGCTGTTTCACGCTGACGACCCAGCATCGAGGAGCGGTGTCTATCTTTGCCTGCAAATGCCCCCCCGGGTACTTCAACAATGCAGACGCAGATCCTACCAGCTGCGCATTCTGTGGACAGGGTTTCTTCTGCGCGGGAGGAAGCAATAGACAGTCGTGTGACGTTGCGTCGGAGACAACATACAGCGACACAAGTGCCGAAGCGGCAGATTGCGTTTGTGCCAAAGGCTTCTCTCGTGTAGGTGGCCGGTGCGAGGCTTGTGCACCTGGTGGCTTCAAAGATGAACCTGGCGAGAAGCCTTGCTCAGATTGTCCACAGGGCAAGTGGAGTGATGTGGTCGGTTCTGAAAGTCTGGAGATGTGTGTATCATGTGTGCCGGGCTCCACCACTGAAAAACCAGGAGCGGCCAGCGAGTCCTTTTGCATGAGGCCGGAAGGTGGGCAGAGGGCCAAATGTGTTGCTGGCAGGGCCTGTCACATACGACTCCGTGGGTACAGCCTTCAAGAGGGGCATCGGATGGCACTTAGTGCGGGACCATGCCCTCCGGGCAGCCTCAGCGTCCCCGGCATCTCGAACAATGGGATATCAGAGCCAGCTCAAGATGGTGGTGCGGTTTACTCATGGGGCCAAGGTCCTTCAGACTTCACTCCTGAGGGGGGGTTCTACGCGATGTGCTGGTGTGCCAGTGTCGCGCCTCTTCTCTGCCCTGATGTTGGCTCAGGATTCGATATTTCTGCTGGAGTTATGACTGTTGCTGGACCTATGAGGAGCAATGTTGTGGAATGCGTGCGAGGTCATGATTGCAGGAGCTTGTTTCCATTCAATGGAACTGATCTGTCTGATGGAAATGGCGTGTCTGTTGGGCTCGGCTCTTGTGGGAGAACTTCCGGCCTCAGACTTTCGCTAAATAACACCCATGGCACAGGTTGGCTTGAGAATGGCACTGTTGGTGAGCACATTCTTTCCTTTGGAACCTCCATGACAGGAGCGAGGGACTATGGCTTATCCATTGATGCAAGCTTTGGCTACATTCTTTGCTGGTGTGAGAGATCCTGCAACCAGCCCGAAGACTTCATTGTTGATGCTGGCCAGCTTCGTGTTTCTGGTTCCATCACCAATCAAGAAAAACATTGCTATAGAGGACAGCCATGCCTTCTAAAGCAGATTGATGCTTGGGTAGTTTTTCAGAACACTTTGTATCCTGACTGCTCAGTACTTCGTGGGTGACCAGAGTGAAGCCAAGGAAGGGGTCAGTATGGAGGCAGGGGACATGATCAGGATCTTGGAAGACTGCGGTGAAGGCTCCGCTTTATATGATTTCCCTGGGAGCGGTCTCCTGGTGAGAGATGAAACTTGGACTGCTCGTCAACAGGTTCGGGCCAGTCAGGCAAACGCTCACAGTAAGTTTCTGACAACTTGTACTCACCTACAGGACCATCACAATATTAGGATGGAGTTTCTAACAGTGTTTCGTACGTGTTTGGAAATGTACCTTCCAAGACAGCTTGGGTTCGTATACCCCAAGGTCTGGCTGCGTGTGTTCTAGCCATTGATTTGAAATGGTTGCTTTGTTGGAATCCTCATGTGCTGTATGCTGCCGGAAGATTCCGTAAGGATGGTGAAGACTTTCACTTCCACGTGAATGAATCTCTTCCTGTTGGTGCGGCACCCGGTATCTACCAGATGTGCTTTTGCCGGCCAGATCCTGGCTGGTCATGTGAGAACGTGTCAAGCTTCATGGTTAGCGTGGGCCCGGTGTTCGTTCACGGACCTTTCGAACGGATCACAGATTGCACAGTTGGTGCTCTTTGCACTGTGAGCTTCACTGGTATTGTCTTGTCGGTGGGAGATGCACTCCGAATTATCAGATTAAGCGAGGATTCAGCAAACATCTGCAACAACACAACGTATTATCTGCAACATGTGACACTGGCCCGAGACGTTTCCACAGGCTTAGGTTGGCATATCGATCTGGGTGTCCTCGACATGAACACCGCGGGAACCTATCAACTGTGTTGGTGCCCTGTACAGGAAATCTGCCTGTCAAGTTCTTCCTTCCAAGCTCCAGCAGGAATTTTACGAGCAAATTGTCCTCCAGGCTACTACTTCAGAGGATTGAACTGCAGACTCTGTGGGAGTGGCTTCTATTGCCCAGGAGGTGAACCATCATTGGCGATCAGACTTCCTTGCAGAGAGGGGGAGACAACTGTAGGTCCGACTGCATCAGCGGGTAGCGAGTGTCAATGTTCAAAGGGATACTATTCCTTTGAGGGCACGCGCGTCGTCTGCCCCAAAAAATTCTACAAGCCCAACATCAGCAGCGAAGAGGCATGCACAGCATGCCCTCCTAATCAGACAACATTCACCCAAGGTGCGATCTCCATTTCTTCTTGTGTCGGAGCAAATGTGACAGCTAGCAATGCATCAGCTGCTCCAGCTGTTAGATTCCGCTTATCCATCACAGCCGACTCTTCTACCAACCTAACAGATGAAGATTTGAGGAAGCAGCTTGTCGACACGTTGCGGATAAGCATAGGCAGCGCTAGCCGAATGGACGTGGATTCTCTCGACATCAGTTGGCCGTCTGCTTCCAGTTCTGCTACCAGACGCTTATCCGAGCCCTTGGAGGTAGTGATACGAATAAAGTACGCTACAGCACTTCTCGCAAATATCACAGCGCAAGAGCTGGATGTTGATGACTTGGCCATGGACATTGGCAGTGCTCTGCAGCAAGACCCGGCACTGAGCAACTTGCGAGTGGATGTGTCGGACCTTGGCACTGAGATGGTGAGTATAGAGTGCCCGAAGCATACTAGCCTACCGCCCGGAGTCCTGGCAACACATTCCGGTGACTGTGCATGCTGGCCAGGCTACAGGCATGATGCAGAAAGCAAGACGTGTAGTCCTTGTGCGCAGGGTCGATTCAAAACATCCTTGGCCAATACAGAGTGCGAAAATTGTGACCCTGGCAGATGGACGCTCAATGTTGGTCAGTCGGATGGAGCTAAGTGCTGGTGCACTCCAGGGACGTACGAGAACGAGAACGGTACCTGCGTATCCTGTAGCCGGCGCTATTACTGCGATGGGACAAATTATCAAATACTTTGCCCGCCAAACTCCACGACAACTTTCGAGGCGTCTCCAGCCAAAAGCAGCTGCCAGTGTGAAGAGGGCTACCAGAGTGTGAGTAGCACAGTTGAGCTGACCTGTGAGCCATGTGTTCCGGGGCGATTCAAGGAAGTTATTGGCAATGATGAATGCACCCAAACTTGCCCGACAGATGCTACAAGCACGGCTGCAGCTAGCAGGAAAGATGACTGCTTCTGCAAGCAGGGCTTTCACGCGGATTTGAAACATGGGAGTATTGAGCGTTGTATCGATTGCGGTCCATACAATGGTTTAATGTGTCGGGGTGGCCTTGATGAAGAGGGTCAACATGTGCAGCCGAAGGCTGTTGCAGGATGGTTCCAGACTGGTAGGTCCTTGGCCCTGCCGTGCCAAGTGACACGAGATGGCTTCAGTGTTTGCCTCGGCAATATTTCTGGAGGCCATATTGAGCCATTTGCCGGCTTTCCCAATGCGTGCGCTAATGGATCTACCGGCATGCTTTGTGGTGAGTGCCCAGCAGGATGGGCCAGAGGGGCGTACTTGGAGCCTTGCGAACCTTGCGACGCACATAGTGCGCTCGCGTTTGGCTTGGCCATCGCCGCAGACCTGGGTCGGACCACGCTCCAGAACTTCGTTCTAGCAGCAATGGCTGCAGGAGGAGCCGGAACACTCAAGCCGTTGCACACGGTGACGCTACGGAATTTCCAGCATTGGGTGGAAGCTTGCTCCATTCTAGTGGGCTTCAACTTGACACGGATGCGACCGTTTGACTTCTCCCTGGGCGATAAGACCGAACAACCAGAAGCTGGGGAGCCCGTTGCAGAGCCGCATTTTGTGTGGCCCGCGGCAGCTACCGATGCTATGATTCTGTGGTTTGATGCTTTGTCCCTGGTTCCAAGAGTGAATGTGGACTTTGCGGCACAATGCCAGGCTGACGCCTGGTTCGGAGGAAGCCAGGCGGCCAAGCGGGTTGTGCCAGCCGTGTATTACCTGACCCGTCCTGTCTTGACATTCTTAGGCAGCATTTTCATTTGCCTGCTTGTGGTCTACGTTGCGATTCCTTTAACCAACATGACCGGCTTTGCCGTCAATGAGCGGGCAGGGCTGATCAAAAAAGTCACGAAGCGATTGCAGAATGCTGCCTTGAAGGCAAGCAAGGAGGCGACCCAGACGGGGGATAGCCAGCGCCAGGTATGTTACCTGAGCAGATACCTGCCTGCCATGGATCTGAGCGACTGGAACGTGGGCTACAAAGCCTTGGCGGACGTTCCAACTTTGGACTTAGAAGTTGTCACTGGTCAGCAGAGGAGCTTAGCACATTCTCCCTAGCATGCGTGCCTTTAAGTCCTTAAGTACTTGCACCCTATGGGCATACTCCATCTCCTGGAGCAAGCGTTGCATTGTCTCCTCCAAGGCTTGTGAGGGTGCTATTGCAGAGGAGCTTGTGGACTACTGGGTCCTGTGCGCCTTGAAGAAGAAGATGCAAGGTCCGGTTTGCTGCGTGATTTAGGGTTTTGGGTTGAGGCTTAAGGGTTTAGGGTCAAGGGTTAAGGATTTAGGGTTGTCCTTGTTGCCAAGACTTGTTTGCATGTGAGCAGCAATGATGCGCGTGCCCTTTCTTGTTAGGGCCTTGAGTCGCATAAGTTAGGTGGACCCCTCACCCTGTAATACTGGTATATAGTGGTAGTGGTATAGTAGGAATATAAGAGGACCTTAATTAGTGATTATAGTATAATATAGTTAGCAGTATCCCTTATAGTCAGTTTCACAGGGTGGCGAGTCCACCCAACGCATAAGCGACCAGGGTTGGGAAGTAGGGAGCTGTCGTTTGCACGCAGGCCACGAAGCGAGACAGAAAAGCCGATGTCGGAGATGGTGTGGATTTCTCACTTTCAAGGGTGGCGCGGGCTCTGGCCGATCTACGTTTCTCCTGGCCCAGCCGTCAGATGATCCGGCCAAGTGCCCACATTGCAACTGTGCTTGGTGCTCAATATCTGGCGTCGCGGCAGCACGCAGAGGTGCATGACCGTCTTGTATCCTTGAGCTTAGGCCCACATAAGCATGAGCACTTGATCGGTGCCGCTCAGGTCGCAGCACAGCGAAAGATCCCAAATCGATGAATTTCAACTTGTTCAGTCCGTCACCCGGGCTATGGGAGTTCCTGAGCGATGCTAAGCCTGTACTTCTGTTGACACAACTTGCCATTTGGCCTGATATGCTTGCCAACTTCCTGCAGATGATCCGTTGCTCACCTATGCCCAGCGACAGCCCTGAAACTGAACACCGCCTTCTTCCGCATCCTAACGTCGTCTGCTGGGGCTCAGAGCATGAGCCTTTACGGCAGATTGCATTCTGGGGGCTTGGTGTGTGGTGCTGCGGCATTCCTCTCGCCCTTGGTCTGCGAATAAGATGCCTGAAAGGTGAGATGAGCGATGTGACGAACTATCGAACCTACGGATACTTCACAGTGGGCCTTGAGCCTGATTTCTGGTATTGGGATCTGCTGATCCAGAGGGCTGACGTTGCCTTAATGCTTTTTGTCGCCTACACGTCCATTTCTGACCATGAAAGCGCCAAGCTTCTGCTTTTCCCAATCATCTCTGGACTTATGCTTGGAGCAACTGCCTGGGTAAAACCTTATGAGAATGAGCAGGGCGAGATGTTGGATTTCTTAGCAGTACTGCTTCTGACAGCTCGTTTCGTATTGTACAGCACGGTGGCTGTGTTACTCATTTCTTTCCCATCGGGCAACATCGTCGTTTCTGCGTCTGCTCTCCTGCTGCTGGCGATGCTGATCTCGACCAGCTTATATTGTTTGCTACATTTGGTGAGCCAGTACTTGCGCAGCAAAGCTCGCAATCCTGAGATCGACAAGAGCCAGGACGGGTGCCAACAGATTGGTTGGTGACACCTAAACCGAGAGCAGAGAGCTTCAGGGTGATTGGGCATCCTTGCAGGAGGAACCCACCCTTCTGAAGGCTCCAAGCTGTGGACATTTTTGACTTTTGACAGCTGCAAGAATCAACGTATTTGCCAGGTGAAGGTCAAAGCCATCACTGGGGACGGTACCAGGGCCCAAGAGGCTGGTCAGTGAAACACTGGGTGACTAGACCCGGCGGAACCCGGCGGTGATCACCAAAGCAAGCACGCCCGTATGCCTTATCAATCCCAAAGACCCTCATGGCCCCAGAACCTCAAAGTTCCTGCGGGCAGGCGGAGCTGTGCCAATGGCAGAAAGACCTTCGAAAGCTCGTGGAGTTTTTCAAGAGGGAGACTGACATCTAGCTTGGTTGAGGGCCTTGGGTTTGAGGGATTTTGAGGGTTTGGGGATGTTTAGTTTGCCGAAGGAGGAGATGCCAAGGAGCTCAAGCCTCAAGCTCAGCTTTCCACTCACGCATGTCGCTCGTCGGATTGCTGCCATGTTGTCGGCGCCCTTGCTTCTGACAGTCAGGTTTCGGAAGGTGCCTCCAGAAACTCAGAGCATACCTGACATGCACATGCTGCCAGCGACGCCAGGTGTCACAAAGACTTTGCTTGTGCTTTCCTGTTGAGTTAGTAGAACGCATTTGGCAAGTTGATGCAGGAAGGACAGAGGCGCACATGCCGCCAGCTCAGCTTTCCCTTCATCCATATGACGATTGCATTCCAGCCGTGCTGCCAGCTCGTTCTGAAAAGTCAGGCTTGGAAGCGCTCAGGGGCCTGACCAAAAGAAATCTCCTCAGCGTGAAGACTGGTGCCACGAAGAGGTTGAGACGCCTTTTTGAGCCGGCCAAGCCGCTGACCTGGTCGCTGGAGAACGGCAACCTCGTAAAACATCATAATGGAGGAGCCAGTCATCCACTTTGCCCCTTGGTCGCATCATTGATTTCGATTCGTTCAAGCAGCACTAACAGCTTTCAGCTACAGGGGGCGACTTCTGGAAAAGGTTGCTGGCCATCGATGACTCCTGCCAGCAAGCCGCGGTCACAACAGCTATTGCAGACTTCAACAAGCTCTGTCTTGATAAGACTAAACGCATCCATCGCATCAACGTTCTATGCGTGCTCGCCGCATCCACCCGAGAGCTGCCTACAAGCGTCGAGGCAAAGAAGGTCCCGGAAGAGTGGATCAAGGCAATTTGGATACATCAGCATGGTCCCGAATACAAATGTAGTGAGCTGAATGCCAGCGACTTCACCTTAGCCACGCAAGTGCGACGATGACAAGGTTAAAGGATTGCTGGAGGAAGTAGCCTCTCAGCTGCAGCATGAGGTGACTGTTAGGAATTTCCTTTTCACGCCAGACACTGGCCAGCCAAAATTCAAATCGGCAACGTCAAAACAAAAGACCAGGGAAAAGGCTCCACTGGTTGAGCTCAATCAAAGAGCACGTCCACGTTCATCATGGAAGTCTTTTTGGGGGTATTCTTGTGAGCTGTAATATGTACTCTAGAATGCTGTCTGAGTATGCCTGGAGAAGTCAAGCCAGAGGGAGAAGATGAGAGGAAGATCTTGAACTGAGTGTTGTTTTTCAAAACCCGATGGAAATCACGCCCTAGAATTTACATGCCGGCGGCGGCACACTTTTCACAGCGGCCGATGTCTCTGTAAGCCCGAAGAGATCTACAAGCTGTCTAAGTTACTAGGTAGCTAGTACGGGTCCGGGTTGTATTATTTCCCGGTCAATCTTCAAAACAACCTTGCAGAAAATGATACTTTGCGTGGTGCCTGATTTGCATCCAGCTGCATCAGAGTCATCCAGCTTTCCATCGATCATTATTGATTATTGTATGTCAAGAAGGAAGAAGAGCCCAAGGCGCATCCTGACCTAGTGGCCTACAGGGAAGTCCTGGGATGTACATAGGGTTCGTTGAAAAGGGTTTCCAAACAAGCACAGAAGTCGGTGAGGCCAGTCTCGCCAACCCGAAGGATGCCAAGGCGAAGGCAGCTCTGTTCGGATGCTACGCCTTTTTCGAGAACCTGCATTATGCACACATATACATGTAAATAATATATATACATATATAATCTGAGGGTTATAGGGGGAGGGGGTAAGTACTGGCACTATCTATAATCTGAGGGTTATAGGGTGAGGGAAGTATAGATTGCAAACTCTAGCCCTTATTGGCAGGTCTTGGTCGCTGTGAAGGCACTTGTGTCTGATGACAATGTGGAAGGGTCAGAGGGAAAGGCGCGGCGGCAATGCACGCAGCTCCCTTTTGAAGTGACACAACAAGTTTCTGAGGAAGCCTTGGCAGGCCTTGGCCAAGGTTTGCACTCTTTTGACAGAATATGAGAAGGCCACGTCTCACGAGGCAATTGGGTAGTTTCGCACTTCTGTCCATTGCACCTTTGAACCATTGAGCGCTGTCCAGGTTTTGAAAGCATTAACAAAGGCCTTCGAGTCTAAGTTTCAAGCTCCTGGAGTTTTGGAAACGGAGGCCAGCCGGCGTTTGCCTGGTGTTACATGCCCACTTCTTGTGAGCGTTCTAAAATTTTGCACAGATAAAGGTAGGTATGTTCCTGTGATACTGTTGGAGTTGCCTGTTTGGGGTTCCCATTAAAGCCCTTTAAAATACTGGTTGTTACGCTAAACCCTAGGCATTTCCTCGCGCAGGCCTGGTTGAAGCTTCGCTCTGCGTGGACTGCGTCTCAACATACAGCAGAGGCAGGGGAGCTTGTAGCTGCGCTTTAGGGTCTAGGGTTTAGGAGCGATGCTAAGCGAATAATGGCACAGAAAGTCGAACACTCCTGTCGAACATAGTATTTGTAGCTTCCATTAGCTTTTGCCGTTCATTTGACAAGGAAGCCAAGGTTTGTTCAAACAACTTTTCCACAGGGTTTCAGGAAAGTTCTCTGCAGGCCGTGCCCGCGGCTCATGATGCCATGGCTGTTTATGCTGTTGAGGCAGCGCATGTTCATCATCAACACCAGCGCCATCATCATCATCATCATCATCATCATCTTCATCATCATCATCTCATCAACAACATCAACAACATCAACAACATCAACAACAAGTAGCTTGTTCCTCTTGTCGTGGCGGTGGCGGCGGCGGCGCCGGCGGCGGCGGCCGTCGCCGTCGTCGTCGTCATCGTCGTCGTCATCGTCATTGCCACCGGTGGCGGTCGGTGGTCGGTGGTCGTGATGCTGGCTGTCGCGGAGGCAGTGGTGATTGTTCTGGTTTGCTGACATGTCGTGCTTCGAAGGCTGGCAGGAGTTCCATTCAAGATGGCCAAGCATCACGGGCAGAGGTGGCGCCCGAGGCCAGGGCGTAAGGTTTTGAACTATCTGCTCTGAGCTTCACAGCGATCAGTCGATCAGTTGCCTTCCAAACGCACAAAAAACAGC